GAGAATACCAGAGGAATGTCTATCTGTGTTTCATTGACTATGCAAAGGCATTTGACTGTGTGGATCATAACAAACTGTGGCTGACTCTGAGAAGAAGAAATCAAAGAGTGATAGTTTATACCATCAATGCAGGGGTGAGTTATGGTAAAGACCCAAAATTTAATTAAGGTTTTAGAACTGCCAATTCAATAATCTTTTCAATAAGTATACAGGAGTTAGGAGGCTAAAACTGAAAAGAAAGGTGAATATTATTTTTAAGAGAAAACAATCTCTCAAAATCCATATCCTTTACCTTGATTTTTCAGTTGTAAATCTTCTACCAGAGTCTGTAAACTTTCCAGTCTGTTCTGGAGTTTTCTACATGTTTTCCCTGTTGTTTCTATTGGCTGAGACTGTGAAACTATCAGAAAATTGTTTAGATGTAACATCAAGTCTATTCAAAAGATATAATAAAGTCTATTAAAAATGTATTTTCATAAATCTTCTGAATACAGGTTTTAAAATAAAGAATAAATGTTTCTTGCTGAAATATTGTAACACAAAGTTGATTTTATTTCAAACAAGTTCTATTTACTTATATTTAATTATGTTACATTGCATAGTATGTGTTGTTATGTGCCATTGAGTTGCCTGTGACTCATAGCACAGCCCTGTGTACAACAACTCTGAAGCCTGGCCTGTCCTGAGCCAGTCTCACTGATTCTGAGACATCTACCCCTATTGCCCCAGTCATTGTATCAATCCATCTCTTTTAGGGTCTTCCTCTCCTGTGTTATCCCTCCACCCTTCCTAGCATGATGTCCTTCTCCAAGGCTCACATGCCCAAGTTATGTGAGATAGAGCTTCAAAATCCTAGCCTCCAAAAAGAAATGTGGTTCCATCCCTCCAAGACAGAGCTATTTATTTTCTTGGTAGGTAAGACAAATATTTCAAGTTTCATGAACATTCTGTGTTATAAATGACAGCTTTTCTCAGCAAACCTGAAGCACTCTATTAATTTAGTGTTTGGGACAGCATTATTAAATTTGGACACTGGCAACATTTTTTAACATGTATGAGACAATGCCAATTTCTAAACATGTATGAGACAATGTTCATGTGAACAAGGTGGTAAGAGACTACAGAGATGTAAACAGTAATTTTGGTGAGCGCTCAGAAGAGAGACATAACAATGCTAACAACAGAAATGACGGAAGATGAGAGGCAGTGGCAAAAAATGCTAACAGCAGAATCAGGAGACTGGTGTGGGATAGTCCAATTAAGAATCAACTTGCTGAGCAACAACAGTGTCTGTGGGATGAGGCTTACTGGCAGAGTGAGGAACCTCTGGTCACTTATCAGTCAAGCTCAGAGCTTTGTGTCAACTTGCCCAAGTCAGGTAGAGACCAGGCTGGCACAAGAGGCCTGAGGGACAGGGGAGCTTAAAGACCAATAAACTAGAAGCATGGGAAGCAGAGCTATCTTGAACTCAAAGGTAGGATCATGGTCTCTAGGGTCATAAAGGGTGGGACCATAACCTATCATGTTTCAAAGAGTCAAATCTTCATCAACTCGGTGTATAGGAATGCTGTTCATGAATACCAGGGGAATAGGGACAAACGTGTAGCCCAAAGTTTAGGGGGTGGGGCAGCCATGATCCAAGGGCAGAAGAACAGGGCATGGCAGTGCTAAAGAAGTGGAGTAATCATTCATCTGACCTAGGAGAATGGGGCTTTCCAAAGCTTGGGAACAGAATATCACAAAGGGCCTGGGAGGGAGAGCTGAAGCCTAGGACTGAGGAGCCTCTACTCAGAATCCAGAGGTAGTGGCCAACACCCAGAGTCTGGTTTCAGAGAAATTAGTTTTGCTAAGCTTTGGGTTTACGTGCTGCCTTTTATTTCTTTCACTTGTATTGGGATATCTACTTTGTGGCTGGTCCACAATTGGCCTTTGGAAACAGATAACTTGTATTCTTGCTTTCCCAGGCTCACAATGATGAATTTTGTCCCAGAAGGTTCTGAACTTGGGAAGTGATTTAAGAATTTTGGGATGATATAATAGGATGAATATGGTTTTCATATACCAAGGACATGAATTTTAGAAAGTAAAAAAATTATAAAGCTTGATCACTCCCTAACTTGGGAGGGGCTGGACAACATTATGTTAAGTGAACTAACTCAGTCCCATAAGGACAAATACTGTATAAGACCATTTTATTTTGAAAATACATAGCTAGTAAAACATGTAGGAGGACCTAAGGGGGAGGAAAGTGGGAGCAGAGGGGAGAGGATGGGGAGGGTGTAAGAATCAAACCTCAGCTTATGCTAAAGAGCAGCTACCTCTGCCCCTCCTCCTCCTGACTGAGTGCATTGCTCCCCCTCCTTCTGCCTGAGTGGCTACCTTATCTTATATAGAGGCAAAATGTTTTTCTTTGTAAAGGCATAAAAAAAACCCAACCTTCCCTGCATTCCTGTACCTAAAGGTAACTACTCACCAATCAGACCCCAACAAGTCTCCAGCCTACCCCCCGCCCCCAATGGTCAACAAATCGAATGCAAGCCATTATACCAGCTGCTCTAAATAGCCAACCATAGCTCAATTAATTAGACAAAGAAGTAAAAAAGGTATAAAAGGAAACGCTGGCTTTGTCTCGAGGCTCTCACATGGATGCTGCTGTGTCAGTCCATGAGGGCCCGAGTTAGAACTTGGAATAAACTTTGTTAATTTGGCTAATTGGCTCAGTGATCTTTTCTGGGGACTCGCTCCAGTTACAGAGAGGGTAATCAGAGGGTTGCACAATAATGGGTGGAGGGAGAGGTGGGTTAAGGAAATGTGATACACCCAGTGTGAAAAACAATGTACACGAACTTTGTAAGTAAACCAGTGTAAAACGAAAATTTTATATTAAAAAAATGATGAAGCTTGAATTGTGTCCCCTCCAAATATGTATCATCTTAGCCAGGCAAGATTCTCAGTATTATATAGTTATCCTCAAATTTACAATTTAGTTATTCTGTATGTTTTAACCTTAACCTCTATGATGCGAATGAGATAGGATTAGGAGCAGTTATGTTAAAGAGACAGGATACAATTAGCAGGACTAGGTTATATCCTCAATCTCTTTTGAAATTTAAAAGAGATTAAACAGGTGAGTAGGAATCAGAGAAACCTGACTGTGTCCAAGAAGACCTGGGAGTGGAATGTATCTTTTGGTCCCTAGGTCCCCAGACTGACAACTTCTTGGGCCTAAGGGAAGGCTGATGCCGAGACACACGTAGTTGTCCAAGAACACCTGTCCAAGAACACCGACAATGAAAGGGGACAAAGACATTACACTGGAGTCAGGTAGATAGAGAACACTTCCCTTACAGCTGTACTCAGAATTTGGACTTTTGACCTCCTATGCTGTGAAAAAAACTAATTTCTGCTTCTTTAAGCCATCCATTTGTGGTATTTCTGTTGTAATAGCTCTAGATAAATAAGACACGTGTGCATGGTGAAAAATCTGTATTTACAAATGCAGAGAATGAGAGAAAGCCATGATTTTAGGAAAAAATTGAACAAACAAGCAAGCAAAAAAAAAAAATCAACCACACAACACAACAGTATTTAAAACAAATCCATTACTCATGTGAGAGAAAAGGAGAGATGAAAATGACATACAACATCTCTGTATATTTATTAAGGTGTGTATGCTTAGCCAATACTTTAAATAAACAGGGTACAAAGGACATGTCACTCTTAACTCTTCTGTCTTTGTGATATATCAGGTTCTACTCTCTATGCACACTTGACTAACCTCTTTAATATCTCAAGATAGATTTACATACAAAAACAATATGCAAAATTCTCATTAATTCTGAATATGGAAAAGAACTTGCAGTTTATAAAAATAGAAAATTAACTCATCTAGTCAATAATTGGCACAATGACTTCAACAATGAACTTCAGCCAAACAAAGATTGTGAAGATGGCACAGGATTGAACAGAGCTTTGTTGTGTTGTACACAGGGTTGAACCGGAGCCAATTCAATGGCATTTAACAATATCAGTCCATAATATAATATTGTACTTACCTTTAACATTATCAGGAGAATGAACAGGTTTAGTGGATCTGAATTGTGATGTGGAACCTACTGAGCCCTCAACTGAACTAGTTAGGAGTGAGTGCACTGGAGACTTCTTAGGAGAAGAATGGAATGAACGAGTAGGTGAATTTTTCGCAGATGGAGCAGCTAAAAATTTTAAAGAACAAAAGCAAAAGGGTGGAATTACTATAAAAAATATTGCACATATGAAAAATTGAACTTTCACAAGAAATGTTCCCAGGTATGCAATGGGAAGGGTGATATGAAAAATCTCTAGTCCTTGAGTTACAGCTGATAAAAGTTATCTTTTATAAGTGAAAGAGAACAGGAAATAGAACTGCCCTTGGAGGTCTAAGATCTAGCTTCAAATTATCTTATATATTGACTGGACTAAAGTGATCTGAGATTGTTGGTATTCTTAACTGCCTGCCAGAAGCAAGCATGAATACTTTCTGGGGAAAACCAACATCACTCTAACCATCTGTATAATTTTTCACATATAATGACTCATATAATAAAAAATAGCCAGGCATATGAAGATGCAAGGTGACATGATAGAAAACAAGGAGAAAAAAAAACCAGATAACAAAGATCTAATCTACTGAGTTCAAACATTAGGGTTATCACTACAGCTTTTTTTTTAAGCAGGTAACATAATGAACGTATAGTAAGTGAACATTCACATTGAGACAGACTAGGAAGAAGGATTGGCCATACGCTTCTGAAATAGCAGGCCTCTGAAAACCCTATGTACAACAGAACACATTTAGATAACAGAAATGGCAAAGGAGGTTGAGTTTTCAAGTATGGAAATACAAAG